AACGCCAACGCCAAAGCCAACGCGAAAGTTCTATGTGGACCGGCCTTCAAGGTTTCGAGGATAAGCTCGTCGGCGATTTAAAGCATCCGTTGTTGGTTACCCCAGCAACCGAGGCAATCGGAGATCGTCGTGTCACACGTACTTGTTGTTGTTGTTGTTGTAGCAGCATACAAATTCCCCAAAGACTTTTTGGGGCTCGTGTTGATGGAAAATCAAAAATTTTTGATTTTCCATCAACGCGACCGCTTGACAAGCGGTCTGTTTGATAGTGGCGCAAAGCGTTGACAAGCATTAGTGTGTTAGTTTGTTGTGATATGTAAAATGAGCAAATTATTATTATTATTATTATTATTATTATTATTATTGGAAATGGTGTTGACGCTTTATGCTTGAGTGTCGCCGGGCAAGCTTCAAGCACCCGACATTCAACCCGACACTCACACATGTACTCGTTGCTGGGGTAACCAACAACGGATGCTTGAAATCGCCGACGAGCTATAATCGTAACATTAATATCGTGAATGTATTAATGAGTTTAAAAGTGGCGTTTACACGCTCACACACGTATCTACGAATTGCCAACAGCTTGAAAACAATTTTCCTTTCAATCGATCACAGTTTACGGATGTAAGTTTGTTCGCAGAATATTATGTGTTTAGGTAAATATGGAAAAAGCAAAGCAAAAATCGTAAGCGTAGCAAATCATACGAGTGAGAAATTTGAAAGCCATTCCCCGAACGAGTAAATACAAGATTACACAGTAATTATGGTGACCTTTTCCCGCCACCCGGTAATAGTAGAGTGTAATGCTATAACTTGTACCACAAATGTTTTGAAATGTATTTTCAAGTTTTCACCGTTTACCCCGTCCAAACTGCACATATGTACTTTCGTAATTTCCCATTCCATCGATTCTTATATCTTTGGTCTCTGCTCGCGAACAACAGATGGCGCCGTTGCTAGCTAGAGGTGTACGCCCTTGTCAAAAGAACCAGTTCTCTTTTTATCTTTTATAAATCTTTTCAGAGTTAGGCTGTGTGCCAACCGGTAACTTTTTCTCCGTGATGAGACGGGGTGGAAAAATTTACTATGGTGCACAAATAAATTAAGCCCTTATAAATAAAAAATTCTTCCGAAAATTAAAAAATTATTAGATGGGTTTTTATTTATTTTACTGAAACAATAAAATTATTAAACCCGAAACGGACGCATTTCCATTAATTAACCAAATAGCAAAATGAAACAACCCGGGATTCGAGTTTTGTTGCACTTTGCAATATCCACAATGAATAAAATGTTATTAAGGAAAATAAAGCTTCCACGAGGCGAACAGTAAGTTGTGTAAATTTGTGGTTGATATAATTTAGTGCCTTGCTTGAATTAGTTCAGCTCAATGTTTTATTCTGTTGTTCTGGCTTAGGCGGTCGGCTGAACTTCAAATAAATTTTGCCCCGATGAAGATGATAAAGTGGATGGCGACCATTGAAGCCAGAGTTCTTAAATTCACTTGGCGGATTGCGAGGACGGCTCCTTCCAACCGAACATTCTTTGGACGTTTGGCCATTTGGCTTTATTGCGCGTTCAAAGAGAAGGTTGTAATATAATAATTTCAATAAGTCAATAAGTCTAATTTTCTTTCATACCTAGGGGATTTCGAATTCGCTCAAATGTTGAACGGTACAGAACAAAGCAACGGTGTTGAATGAAGCATCCACTAGGTATTATCGCAACGCAGCAGCAAGTACTAGTACCTACGCGGTTTTATAACAAAGCTTTAGCGCATTTATTAAACAACAAATTAGTTGTACACAATTCGAACGCTAAATAAAATCAATGCGAAATGCCAACCGGACACATGCCCCAAATCGGTATTGGGGTGGGGTTTAGTACCGCTCACAACTATTTCGGGCTATTCCGTCCAAATGGGTGGTCCGATCCGAAAAAAATTTCTCACACTTGTAGTCAAGCGTCCACGCAATATTTTAACACTCACTTTTGTAAATTTTGGTTACTAATTTATTTACAAATTGGGTTTGAAATATGCCTTTTTTTGTAAAGTTCGGAAATTAGCGTACATTTATCAATCCTATTCTGCTTAAATTAGCCACTTCACCAATATATTTTTGTATTCCCCTTCACTTTACACTTTACTTGATTTGTTATAACTTGCTTTACGACTTTAATATTAACCAATTCATCACAATTCATTAAATAAAAACACCTTCAAAATCACGCGTCTGACTTTGGTTGCATATGCAAATTAAATGGCGGAGTTCAGCTGTCAAACTCCAAAATATGCAAAAGAATGAGAGACAAAAGAAGATAGGATATAACCCAGTAAGCATTAAAAATATACAAAGGTGTTCAGCTCCTTTTCTTCGCAAAACAGAAAGGGGAATTCTACTGCCTGAGGGTTATAATCCCTAAGTGCGGCCGAAGGCCGCCTACGCAGAAAGGTGTTCTCTGCAAAAGGGGCTCAGCCCCCCTTCTTTGGCAACA